AAACTTCAGGCCAATATGCCTGATGAACATTGATGCAAAAATCCTCAATAAAATACTGGCAAACCCAATCCAGCAGTACATCAAAAAGCTTATATAGCACAATCAAGTTGGCTTCATCCCTGGGATGCAAGGCTCGTCCAACATATGCAAATCAATAAACGTAATCCATCACATAAACAGAACCACAGTCATCTCAATAGATGCAGAAAAGGCCTTTGGCAAAATTCAACAGCCTTTCATGTTAAAAACTCTCAACAAACTAGGTATTGATGGAACATATCTCAAAATAATAAGAGCTATTTATGACAAAAACCCACACCCAATATCATACCGAATGGGCAAAAGCTGGAAGCATTCCCTTTGAAAACCGGCACAAGACAAGCATGCCCTCTCTCACTACTCCTATTCAACATAATATTGGAATTTCTGGCCAAGGCAATCAGGCAAGAGAAAGAAATGTATTCAAGCAGGAAGAGAGGAAGTCAAATTGACTCTGATTGCAGACAACATGGTTCTATATCTAGAAAACCCCAGTGTCTCAGCTCCAAAACTCCTTAAGCTGATAAGCAACTTCAGCAAAGTCTCAGGATACAAAATCAATGTGCAAAATACACACGCATTCCTATACACCAATTATAGACAAGCAGAGAGCCAAATCATGAATGAACTCCCATTGACAATTGCTACAAAAAGAATAAAATATCTAGGAATACAGCTAACAAGGTATGCAAAGAACCTCTTCAGGGAGAACTACAAACCACTCACTGCTCAAGGAAATAAGAGAGGACACAAACAAATGAAAAAACATTCCATCTTTATGAATAGGAAGATACAATATTGTGAAAATGGCCATATTGCCCAAAGTAATTTATAGACTCAATGCTATTCCCATCAAACTACCATTGACATTCTTCACAGAATTAGAAAAAACTACTAAAAAGGGCCTGTATAGCTAAGACAATCCTAAGCAAAAACAGCAAAGCTGGAGGCATCATGCTACCTGACTTCAAACTAGACTGCAAGGCTACAATAACCAAAACAGCATGGTACTGGTGCCGAAACAGACATATAGACCAATGGAACAGAACAGAGACCTCAAAAATAACACCACATATCTACAACCATCTCATCTTTGACAAACCTGACAAAAACAAGCTGGAGAAAGAATTCCCTGTTTAATAAATGGTGCTGGGAAAACTGGTTAGCCACATGCAGAAAACTGAAACTGGACCACTTCCTTACACCTTATACAAAAATTAACTCAAGATAGATTAAAAACTTAAATGTAAAACCCAAAACCATAAAAACCCTAGAAGAAAACCTAGGCAATACCATTCAGGACGTAGGCATGGGCAAAGATTTCCTGACGAAAATGCCAAAAGCAGTAACAACAAAAGTCAAAATTGACAAATGGGATCTAATTAAACTAAAAAACTCCTGCACAGCAAAAGAAACTCTCATCAGAGTGAAGAGGCAACCTACAGAATGTGAGAAAATTTTGCAATCTACCCATCTGACAAAGGTCTAATATCTAGAATCTACAAGGAACTTAAGTTTACAAGAAAAAACCCCCATCAAAAAGTGGGTATAGGATGTAACAGCATTTCTGAAAAGAAGACATTTATACAGCCAACAAACATATGAAAAAAAGCTCATCATCACTGGTCGTTTGAGAAAAGCAAATCAGAACCAAAATGACATACCATCTCACACCGATCAGAATGGCGATTATTAAGAAGTCAAGAAACAATAGATTCTGGCGAGGCTGTTGAGAAATAGGAATGCTTTTACACTGCTGGTGGGAATGAAAATTAGTTCAACTATTGTGGAACACAATGTGGTGATTCCTTAAGGATCTAGAACCAGAAATACCATTTGACCCAGCAATCCCATTTTTGGGTATACACCCAAAGGAATATAAATCATTCTACTATAAAGACACAGGCACATGTATGTTTATTGCAGCACTATTTACAATAACAAAGACATGGAACCTACCCAAATGCCCATCAATGATAGACTGAATGAAGAAAATGTGGTACATATATACCATGGAATACTATGCAGCCATAAAAAGGAATGAGATCATATCCTTTGCAGGGACATGGATGAAGCTGGAAGCCATCATTCTCAGCAAACTAACCCAGGAACAGAAAACAAAACACCACATGTTCTCATTAATAAGTGGGAGTTGAATAGTGAGAACACATGGACAAAGGAAGGGGAACAACATAAACCAGGGCTAGTTGGGGGGTGGGGGCCAAGGGGAGGGAGAGCATCAGGACAAATAGCTAATGCATGTGGGGCTTAAAAACTAGATGATGGGCTGATAGGTGCAGCAAACCACCATGGCACATGTATACCTGTGTAACAAACCTACACATTCTACACTTGTATCCTGGAACTTAAAGCAAAAGTAAATAAATAAATAAATAAATAAATAAAAATAAATTAAAAGTGCTATTCCAGTGAGCAAATGAGTGATAAGTAAGCAGAACAGCCTTCTTGCTGATATGGAGAAGGTGTTAGTGGTCAGAGTGGAAGATCAGAGCAACCATAACATTCCCTTAACCAAAGCCAGATCCAGAGCAAGGCCTCACTCTTTTCAATTCTGTGAAGGCTGAGAGAGGCAAGGAAGCTTCAGAAGAATAGTTGGAAGATAGCAGAGGTTGGTTTATGTAGTTAAGAAAAGAAGCTATCTTCATAACATAAGCAAGTACTGATGCAGAAGCTGTAGCAAGTTGTCTAGAAGATCTAGTTAAGATAATTTATGAAGGTGGCTACATGGAATGAAAGATTTTTAATGTAGATGAAGCAGCTTTCTACTGGACAAAGATGCCACCTAGAACTTCGATAGTGAGAGAGAAGTCAATACCTGGCTTCAATGAAGGACAGGCTGAATTTCTTGTTATAGGATAATGCAGTTAGTGACTTAAGTTGGAAGGCAATGCTTATTTACCGTGCCAAAAATCCTAGGGCCCTTAAGAAATATGCTAAATCTACTCCACTTATGCTCTATAAATGGAACAAAAAGTCTGATGGCACCACATCTGTTTACAGTATGGTTTACTGAATCTTTTAAGCCCATCTTTGACACCTACTGCTCAGAATTTTTTTTTTTCAAGTATTACTGCTCATGGGCAATGCATGTAGCCACCCAAGAGCTCTGATGGGGATGTACAAGGAGATTAATGTTGTTTTTGTGCCTGCCAATACAATATTTATTCTGCAGCCCATGGAGTAAGGAGTAATTTCAACTTTTAAGTGTTGTGATTTTAGAAATACTTTTCATGCAGCTGCCATAGATAGTGATTTCTTTGATGGATCTAGGCAAAGTGAACTGAAAATCTTCTGGAAAGGATTTACCATCTAGATGGCACTCACAACATTCATGACTCAATAGGTGAGGTCAAAATACCAACATGAATAAGGGTTTGGAAGACGTTGATTCCAACTCTCATGGATGACTTGGAGGGGCTCAAGACTTCATTAGAGGAAGTAACCACAGATGTGGTGGAAATAGCAAGAGAACTAGACTTAGAAGTACAGCCTGAAGATGAGACTAAATTACTACAATCTCATAATAATACTTGAATGAATAAGAAATTTCTTCTTATGAATGAACAAAGAAAGTTGTTTCGTCAAATGGAATCTACTTCTGGTAAAGATGCTGGGAACACTATCGAAATGACAGTAAAGGATTTAGAATATTACATAAACTCAGTTGATAAAGAAGTGACAGGATTTGAGAGGATTGACTCCAATTTTAAGAGAAGTTTTAGATAAAATGTTATCAATAGCATTATATATTACAGGGAAATCTTTTGTGAAAGAAAAATTCAATTAATGGGGCCAAATTCATTGTTGTCTTATTTTTATGAAGCTGCCACCATTCCCTCAATCATCAGCAGCCATCATTCTGATTAGTCAGCAGCCATCAACTGGGAGGCAAGACCCTCCAGAAGCAGAAAGATGATGACTTGCTGAAGGCTCAGAGTATTGTTAGCATTTTTTAGCAATGAAGTATTTTAAAATTAAGGTATATACCTCTTTTAGATGTGATGTTATTGCACTTTTAATAGACTACAGTATAATGTGAACATAACTTTTATATGCACTGGAAAACTAAAAAAATATGTGACTTGCTTTACTGGGATATTTGCTTCATTGAGCTTTTATGTGATCTGGAACCAAACCTGTAATATATCAGAGGTATGCCTATAATTGAAACCATGAGAGTGGCTGAGATTATTCTGGGAGAATCTGTAGAGCAAGAAGAGCAGTGAGTCATTTCTAAATGCAATGAGACGTACTTAGAGTAATAGTCTCTCTGTTTTACCCATGAGGAAATTGAGGCCCGGCACCAGAAAGATTTTGGGATTTTCCTATATAGCTAAGGAGAGGAAACTGGAACTTGAAACTAGGTCTCCTGATTCCAAGTCACTATTCCTTCTATCATATTGATCTCAAAATAACAATCCTAATTTAGGGGAAACTTGCAGGCAATTTGCTTTAGAATGCCCCTGGAGAATAATCCAATTATTGGTATGATATGTCTTTTTTGTCTGAATTCTGTAGAAACAAATTTATCAATTATTTTATCCACATGTTTACATTGTTCTAGGATGAGAATTACTATAAATACATCAGATAAAAAATTCTTTGATTCTAAGTCCATGGCAGGTTTATGTAAAACTCTGCAAATCTATAACTTTGATACCTTTACAAAATGATTGGCAGATCAAGTCTGTTATTTGTGCCCATTAAGAAAGAGCATAGGAACTTTTGTGCATATAAGCAGACTGAATGTCAGGGTGTTGCAATAGTCACAAAACAAACTTGGTATCATTAGTACTTGTTTTAATCACTTGTCTAACCATAGAGAATAGTAACATGGATTCTACCATGTTAGGGCAGTAGTGGTCCCTATGAAATAAGTTTTATTTACTCCTTAATAACTGTTGTTAACTCAGTCATTTTTATGTCTTTGTTTTCCTTAGAAACTGACTTATGCAAAGGAAACTGTAAGCAGGTGAGTGTCTCTTTTTCCCAAAATTCATGTTTGGCAACACAGATGTGTCATAACCGAATTCAAGACTCACCCCAAATTTAATGGTGCCTTTCTATTTTCTTGCCAGTTTGCAATGACCAGGCCTGTGGATAAGTCCCAAATATTTTTCCTCATTCCCAAGCCACCTTTATTTCCAAACCACCACCACAGCCACTGTGCGCATTTGCTGTCTGACCTTATTATGAGGCAAACTTGCTCCTCTCTTAGATAAGAAAACAGATTTATGGCTTATATGGAATCACCTATTATTGTCGAGGTTTAAAGGCTAATGATGAAATTGTTCTGAAATGGTACACCACAGTTGAGGATACTTTATTAAATGATGGGTGGTGCTATGGATCAATTTATTGACTATTGATGATTATGTTCTTGAAACTTAGGAATAGCATAACCTTGATGAGTCTATCAGTATTTTGATTCTTGACTCTGTTCACCATGGGCTTGGGGCTAAGGTAATTTCTGGCTTCTGGGAAGTATCAGTACAAAAAAGATCACAGAAGGTAAGGGATTTTGAGCCTATAGGGGCTAAAGCTTTCCAATTCTATTCATCATCAGAGTATCTAAATTGTAATAGCATGTGGGTGGTTATATAGGAAAGCACCACTAGAGCATGCAATCCAGGTCACAGTCCAGAATTTTGCCTCAAATTAGAGGGAAGGACAGATTGAAAAACCAAGTAGGTGAGTCAGTGTCCAGAGATCCAACCTGGGCATCAGAGTCAGGGCAAAACCATAAATGGAATATATATGTGGGTGGTAGTGGGGTGTATCCAGGTTTCAAATCAAACACAAGTAAATAGGAAAGAAGTGGGACTCTGTGTGGTATTATTCATACAGCCAATGGCACTGAGTCTATACCAGGGTGTGGGATGATTGAATATTTACTTAAATATGGGGTCATGTGGTCTCTTGGGTGTGGTTTATTCTGTTTTAATTTTTATATTTATTTATTTGGAGACAGGGTCTTGATCTGTCACCCAGGCTGGAGTGCAGTGGCATGATCACAGCTCACTGCAGTCTCGAGCTCCCAGGCTTAAGTGATCCTCCACTTCTGCTGCCCAAGTAGTTGGGACTACAGGCACAAACCATCATGCCCAGCCAATTTTTTTTGTATTTTTTGTAGAGACAGGGTTTTGCTATGTTGCCCAGGCTGGTTTTGATCTCCTGGGCTCAAGCAATTGGCCCGCCTCAGCCTCCCAAAGTGTTGCGATTGACTGCAGGCATGAGCCACTATGCCTGTCTGTGTGTGGTTTCTTCACCACAGAGAGGCAGAGCTCAGAGATTCCTTGTGATTGCCACTGCAACAGACAGTGGATCAGTAAATCTACGGTTGTAATGATAGAACTAGAAGGAACCTTAGAGGTCGCTTCATCCAACTTTCACAGTCTATTGGCTCAATTAACTTCTCTAAGATCTCTTTAAGTTCATTGTGCCCGAAGCTATATCAATCATTTCCTCATAAATCTGTTTCTTTCTAGGTTCCTCTTATCAGTGAATGAATGGCATTATCATCCATCTAGTTGCCCATATTCTTTTCTCTTGCTTTCTCCCTTCTCTTCTCCTATTTTCTAATTATCCCTTGATTCCATCCATTTGTCTCTGACCCCACAGTCTCTACACTAATTCGTATAATCAACACTTATTTCCTGGTACAGAGGCTTGCCAAGAGTTCTCTCTACTTCCCTCTGAGCCCTCCTCTCCACCCCGGCCAGAAATCTTCAAAAGAATAAATTTGATCACGTGCCTCTCCTCTGTAAGACAATTTAATAGTTCCTCATTGCTTTTAAGATCAAAATTAACATGACCCACAAGGCTCTTCACAGTTAGGCCTGTGCCCAGCCTCATCTGTCTCAGTTTCCTTCTCAAACTCTATGGTTTAGCCACAGTTTTTCAGAGTAGTCTTGAGCCATTGTGTTTCCATATTTGTTGCCTGACTAACATTATCAAACACGTAATAGCATTTTAACATTTATTGATTGCTTACAGTATACTAGATACTTAACATATATTAATTTATTTAATCCTCTGAGTTTAAGCCTCTGAATTATGTACTTTTACTATCTTTATTTGATAGACGAAGAAACAGTATTAGAGTTTAAATAACTCAAGGTAATCCAGCTTATTTGATTCTTAAGCATCTGATTTTTAACCTCTATTAATACTGCCTTTTACTGTGTAAAATATGTTACCTCACTTAATTATTACAACAACAACAACCAAAAACCTAAGTTAGTAATACTCTTACAGGAATCCAAAATATGAATAAAATCAGTAATGCATACAAATCAGTAACTGCACAAAATACCTAAAGCCTGACTCTTCTTGAAAAATCTACCATGTAGCCTTTAGCAGGTTTCTGCCGGATCCTAATGAATGAATAAAAATGGATCTTACTCATTTTTGTAACCCTAATAGGTAACAATCTTGAGGAAATGCACTGTTTTAGGATTTGTTGTAAGCTCTACATTAACTAGCACCAAATGTGTATGTAGTGTAATCTTAATATGTACAGTTTGTATTGCTTTGGTTGACTTTGTTTAACCAATCAGACCAATATCAAAACATGCTTGTGTTCATAGTGCACATATGTGCACACACACCCATACATAGAGAGAGGGAAGAGAAGTCAATTCCAAGGATAATTTTTTAAAAATTTAGCTTTTATTTTAGATATAAAGGATACATGTGTAGGATTGTTACATGGGTATATTGGACCCAGGTAGTAAGCAGAGTACCCAATATGTAGTTTTTCAACCCACACCCACCTGCCCTCTAGTAGTCCACAGTGTCTATTATTCCCATGTTTATATCCGTATATGCTCAGTGTTTACCTCTCCCTTATAAGTGAGAACATGCAGTATTTGGCTTTCTGTTCCTACATTAATTCACTTAGGATTATGGCCTCCAATTCCATCCAAGTTGCTGCAAAGGACATGAGTTCATTCTTTTTCCTGGTTGCATAGTATTCCATGGCATATATGTACCATATTTCCTTTATCCAATCCACCATTGATGGCCACCTCGATTGATTCCATGTTTTTGCTGTTATGAATAGCTAGTGATGAACATGCGAGTGCATGTATCTTTTTGATATAATGATATGGGATTGCTGGTTTGAATGGTAGCTGTGTTTTAAGTTCTTTGAGAAATCTCCAAACTGCTTTTCACAGTGGCTGAACTAATTTACATTCCTACTAATAGTATATAATCATTTCTTTTTCTCTGCAACTTCATCAACATCTGTTATTTTCTGATTTTTTAGTAGCCATTCTGACTCGTGTGAGATGGCATTTCATTGTAGTTTTGATTTGCATTTCCCTGAGTATTACTGATGCTAAGTATTTTTTCATATATTGACCTCATATATGTCTTCTTTTGAGAAGTGTCTGTTCATGTCCTTTGCCTACTTTTTAATGGGGTTATTTGTTTTTTGCTTTTTGAATTGTTTAAATTCCCTATAGATTCTGGATATTAGACTTTCGTCAGATGCCTAGTTTGTGAATATTTTCTCCCATTCTGTAGGTTATCTGTTTAGTATGTTGATAGTTTCTTTTGCTGTGCAAAAGCGCTTTAGTTTAATGAAGTCCCACTTGTCAATTTTTGTTTTTGTTGCAATTGCTTTTGGGGGCTTGGTCATAAATTCTTTGCCAAGACCAATGTTGAAAAGGATATTTTCTAAGTTTTCTTCTAGAGTTTTTTTAGTTTGAGGCCTTACATTTAATTATTTAATCAATTTTTAGTTAATTTTGGTATATGATAAAAGGTAGGGTTCTAGTTTTTTTCTTCTACATATGGCTAGCCAGTTAGCCCAGCAGGATTTATTGAATGGGGAATCCTTTCTCCATTGTTCATTTTTGTCAGCCTTGTTGAAGATCAGATGGTTGTAGATGTGCAGCTTTATTTCTGAGTTTTCTATTCTGTTCCATTGGTCTATGTGTCTGTTTTTGTGCCAGTACCATGCTGTTTTGGTTACTGTAGCCTTATAGTTTAGTTGGAAGTTGGATAGTGTGATGCCTCTGGCTTTGTTCTTTTTGCTTAGGATTACTTAGGCTATTCAGGCTCTTTTTTGATTCCACGTGAATTTTAAAGTAGTTTTTTTTCTAATTCTGTGAAGAATGACATTGCTAGTTTGATAGGAATAGTATTGAATCTGTAAATCGCTTTGGGCAGTATGGCCATTTTAATGACATTGATTCTTCCAATCCATGAGCATGAGACTTTTTTGATTGATTTAGCTTTGGGTGTGGCCAAGATGGCCACACTGTAAATTTTGCAAAGGCTATGTTTCCATGTTAATTAGTCATGGATACATGCTAAGTACATTTTGTTTCAACAGATTCTGTGTTACTATACCCTGACAGTAACACAATATTCCTGAAAACCTAACTTCAGACCTTACTGGATTTCATCATTCAAAGAGAAAAATGTATATCTGTGCTGTTTTCCTGCTAAGAGATGTATTTCTTGCATAATGTATCAACTACTAAATACCTGATCACAGTGCACCTCATTCACAACTACTAGGAGGTGATTAGAGAAGGAGGGGGGAATGAATGAAAGTCTGTTAATTGGTTAAAGCAGAATGGGTTTTCTCTGGAGCTGCCCCAAATTGATTATCTCATTCATTTCCTTGGGTTCTCCTGCCTGCTGATTCAAACTGTCCCATCTTTCTGTGCATCAGCTGGAAACAAACACCTTCTTTCTCTCTTTCACCATCCCAACTCCCAAGAGGAATTTTTAAAAAGAAAGATAAAATGATTCTGCCCATGTGAAGAGAAAGTCTTTCATCATAAGAACTAGCCTATAATGCAGCACATGCCATCAGAAGCTAGACTGGTAATGCAATGCACATACAGTGTGAGTATATATATCTACAAATGTTGAGGCAGTACAATTTCCAAGCATTCAAAGTACTGATATGCACTTGCATGTTAAAATATCATAAAGATGCCAAAGAATAGA